AAAAAAAAAAAAAAACTAATTACTGCCATAAATGCTCTTGGGTATTAGACTCTCTTGACAGGAACTCTTGGAAATTACCATATTCTTCCTATAATAATACCAGGTTAAGACAATGGCACAAGCCCAAGATTGTCTTCTTCCAATGGGGATTACTTCAGAAAATGTTGCAAACCGTTTTGGTGTAACAAGGCAGGAGCAAGACCAGGCTGCGGTGAGCTAAATGAAACTTTCATTGTGTTGGTTATTTCACCATGACCAGTTTTTAACTGTTCCTGTATTTATGTTGTTAGGTCGAGTCACATAGAAAGGCCACTGCTGCAACTGCTTCTGGAAAATTTAAAGACGAGATAATACCTGTGAGCACCAAGGTAGCATCTTATTGTAGTTATACCAACGTTGTGAAAGTGTACGTCTTCGGCTCATTATAAGTTTCAGCATATCATGTTACTTTAGTACTGATGCATATTTCATTGAAAAAGATTGTTGACCCAAAATCTGGAGGTGAGAAACCTGTTACAATCTCTGTTGATGATGGAATTCGGCCAAACGCAACAACTGCAGATCTAGCAAAACTGAAGCCGGTATTTAAGAAAGATGGGACCACCACTGCTGGTATTTTAGACCCTACATCTTTAAGTTGTATTCGGGATATAGCAATTTTGGTTGCTGACTCCTTTTTCTTTGTGTTACAGGGAATTCTAGCCAAGTGAGTGATGGTGCTGGAGCCGTCCTCCTCATGAAGAGAAGTGTTGCAATGCAGAAAGGATTACCAATTCTTGGTGTATTCAGGCATGTAACTGCCCCATTGACTCTTTTGTACTATTTAAGGGTGCAAAAATTCTGCTGGATATGTTCTTGGATCTCTATTCCCTCCCCCTTCTTCCCCCTTTGTTCTTCTGACATATGTAAATCCATTCGCTATCTTCCACCTCCATGACATGATTCTATTATTCTACTATCTTTTAGCTGCAAAAAATTGCACAAGTTTTGCTAAGGAGGGTCCACGTCTTGCAGCATCTGAGGGGACAGTAATCTATAATTATTGTCATATTGACACATATTATTTGGGCGTTTTGTTATCAAAAATAACCAATTGATTGCTTCCTAGAACTTAGAATTGGTTTATTTAAAGGAGAAAGTTCCTTGAAGATTTAAGTGAAATACTTACACCAAATATGGAACTCATTTCTGTTCAAGGTTGGGGTCCTGGGGACGTAGTTTACCTTTGCTGCGCTCATTTCTTGAATAAGTTGCTACTGAATAAAGATGAGAATTTGAAAGATGTGAATATGTAAAAGAATCATATCTATAACTCCATTCACATCCAGTTTCTCAGCTTTCAAAACGTCAAAAGACAAGAATTATTGTCGGTTGTATTCGTTTTTATTTGTCTCATGGTTACGGTCTTGGGAGTGTGATGAGGTTGAGGGCCTTGAGGATCTTCCCACTCCTCCTTCAACTTCTCACTGCTGGTTTTATTTCGCTTCTTATCTTCCTGTTCTTCTTTCTCTGTAACACTATCAGACAAATTAAATAGGTTTTTTTTTTGGGGGGAAGGTGTGCATCTCGCTAGTGTACATTTATATATGTGATGCCACCTTGCTCTTCTAGTTTGAATTCTTGATCCCCCACTTTCCATACTGTTCTTTGCAACTGTCCCTTCTGTAATTGACCAGAGCATCTGGCCAATCCTTTTATTTTGGTTGGGCTCGATGAGGTTGATTTTCAACATAGTTTCTGAAGCTTTTCAGTTATGATTGGCTATTTATACATTTGTAAACATTTCTTCAATCTAAAATGCATAGGGTAGGTTGCACAAATCATTTTTCTTGCTCTCTGGAGTCATTTTCCATCACTTCCTCATTCGGGGTCAATTATGTTACAGATAATGCCCTTTTGTGAATGATAAGTGAAATGTCTATACTCCGTTAGCAATTTGGTCATAGAATATGTAGGTGTAGAATAATCAACTTTAAAACTATGCTTCGAAATATTTCAGTACATCTGCTTTATCAGCAAAGTCTGCTTCCTGAAGAATCACTTTTGTGTTCGGTGTATAGAAATTCAGTGGACTATGTCTTTGTAAGTGTAAGTTTGGATGATTTAATACCTGTCTGTGCTGTTTGATGTGTAATCTTTTGTCTGTCAGGAGAGGGTTCAAATATTCACCCTTTTGATTCGGTAATACTCTAAATGCCATTTTTTAATCCATGGTACATCACCAGTTCCATTAGCTACCGTAGCTTGCATCTCTTTCATGTATGAACGGCATTAGAATAGAAGATAAGAAAGCTGATGGCTAGTGCAAAATAGTAACAAAACTACCTGATGGTGCTCATGCAGGACTTTTGCTGCTGTTGGTGTAGATCCTGCCATCATGGGTGTTGGCCCAGCTGTCGCAATTCCAGCTGCAGTCAAGTCTGCTGGTCTTGAACTTGATGATATCGATCTTTTTGAGATAAACGAGGCAATGATATTTCGATCATTTTGTTGTTTTTTTCTTTCTCTAGTATAGTATTTAAAGTGACTTCTTAAAAGTGCACCCAGTCAATTGTTATTGATCTTTGGACAGGCATTTGCCTCACAATTTGTGTATTGCCGTAAGAAGCTGGAGCTTGACCCAGAAAAGATCAATGTTAATGGAGGGGCAATGGCCATTGGGCATCCATTGGGTGCAACAGGTATTTGCAACAGGAATTATTGGAACACATATTTTGGTTTTGAAGTTACTGGTTTAGTTTTCCAACTATTGGTGATCTTTTGCTTAGAGTATGTATCATCTGGAAATTTCTCAATGCATCATCGGGAGTGCAAGTGTCTCCTTATTGTGTCACCCACCCTGAGGGATTCCATGTTTGCTCTGTCCACCACGTATTAGCCCTTTCTTTCTCAAAAAATTCATTTGATGCATATGACCTTACTGACATGAAATCTCATGAAGTAGCTCTTTTTTCATCCCTGGAGACATATATCGTCAATTGCTATGTTTACTAATTCGTGTCCATTACCATTTATATGGTAAAAGACTGTAGGTAATGAAACTATGTTGCTCATTCTTTAATGAATTGATTGGCATAAGGAAATTCAGAACAAAAAATAAAAGGCCAAAGGAAAACAAATTATGCATATATGACTGTTAAGACTTGGAAAGTATCAGAAGCTGTATTTAGGACTACAGGTTGACAGACGTTTTCTGCACTTATAATATTATTTTTCTCCAAAGAGGTAGCTACTCTAATGTCTGGAGTTGGGTTTTGGGCTTTCCCAAAGAGATGGATTCCTTCTGTGATACCATCTCTTTGTGCCAAGTGACAACTAACAAGGAGTTGGTAACACTCCAAAACTTTCATTCTGTTAAACCATCATAACTGCATTCTATATTGACATAGATGTCCTATTTAGTTGGTTGGGCCTGCTAGGTTATGCATAAGCAGACAGTGCGAGAGTTTTTAGATGTTGTACAACTCAATTACCTTTTAGAAGAGAGCATGAATGTTAGAGGTCTTGAGGGGTTTGGTACAAGAGTCTTGTCATGAGAATCCGTATTGTGAGATGCTTGCCAAAAAGTCCCATTCTGTGTTTTAATGTTGGATGCCCCTCTGTCTTTCTCCTTTCTGTGCTATTGGTCTTTGGTTTTGGGTTTCTCTGTCCCACTCATCTTTTATGGGGTGTGTGTGGGGAAAGGCTGGGGTTAAAGTGGCTTTTAACATCTGCTGCTTTTTTGCTGAATTAACTGCTTTGTTAATGCTGCTTGGCCACTGTATCCAACCTTATAGAACTTTGTCTTCTCACCTATTATATAGGAGTGTAATATAACTGGCACCTCCATTGAGCAAGAACCTGTGGTCTCTGCATGTATAGGATGATTCAGTCAAAATAATTTACATTTTCACAAATGTTTGGTCGGCTGCAGTTATTGTTTGATCATACAGATTGTCATAGCTTTCTGCATTATAGTATTTTGTCCACTCCAGCTATTGTCCGAGTATACAATTGTCATAGCTCTTTCAGAAAACCTATTCAATGAAATAATATTTAGAAAGTTTTTCGAAGTCCCCGTATCTGTGTATGCTGAGGCCCTACATTTTGATCATTGATACTTTGGTCAAACATGAATGCTGCATTTAACGAGACTGCTCGTGTCTGTTTACAGGAGCTCGCTGTGTGGCCACTCTATTGCATGAGATGAAGCGTCGTGGCAAAGACTGCCGCTTTGGCGTGGTGTCGATGTGCATAGGTGCTCTCTCTCTCTCTCTCTCTATATGTTGCTTGATGTTATGTTACACCACCAACATATGTATCTGAACTGCAGGCACAGGAATGGGGGCTGCTGCTGTGTTTGAAAGAGGAGATTCTTGTGATGAGCTCTGCAATGCTCGCAAAATCGAAACCAACAATCTTTTGTCTAAAGATGCTCGGTAGAATTCATACAATCTTCTGCAACTATTGTTAGTAAGGTTACAGGTGGGATCAAGTCCTAATAAAGCAATGTAATAAATCGCCTTTTTTTTTCCCAAGGAATATGTCGACAATTTTAAGGATTGGGTTTGTATCTTGACGTTGAACTTGAAGAGACATACTATTTACCTGTTAGGCTCTTTTGGCATGTGCTGGTTGCGTATTATAGCTGAATGAAATTTCTGTTACAAAGATCCGTCTTCGTTCCTTCCTCTACTTTTTTCTTCATCTTTTTTCTCTCTTTCTTTCCGTAGAAATGAAACCCTCCGACCCCACAACGTAGGGGCCATTGATCCAAGTAAACATTCTTTTTGTATGCGTTTACCTTTGGTTGAACAATCTGTTTTGAGTTACTAAATCAATCTCTCAAAATTATTGGGCTTGTTTGGAACTAATTTTTTTGTGAAAATTTGTGATTTTAAAAGTTTCACAAAAAAAAAAATCAGAGTTAAAAAAATCTTCTAAAATTATTTGGAGTGTTCTTTAAAAACTGAAATTTTGTTGAGTGACTATTAAACTTTTTTGGTTTTTTGTGTCAAAATAAAAACTTAATTAAATGTATGTATAAATTTTTTGCATAATAGTTTTTAAAATATGAATTTTAAATTTTTTACACCACTAATAATATTTTATAAATATAAAAATTTTAAAAAGTATGTGGTACTCACAGTAAAACTCTAAAAAATCGAAAAAAAAATTCATAAAATCAGTTTCTTGAATCAGCTTAAATATACTTTTTTGGGTCCAAAAAGCTGCTGTATAAACTGGTGAAAAAGATAAAATTTAAACAAAATCGACTTATTTTGTTCCAAAACCCTTAAAAACTACTTATTTAAGCGAGCTTCAAATACCCTCCTTATATAAATGTCTACCATTTATCTATTCTGTACTCCATCATAGACTAGGTAAGACAGTTTTTCCCAGTTATGGAAGTGTGTTGACCATAGAATTTATATTTTAATTACACATGGGGTAGATTGATAACTAGTTCCATTCCGTGGGGTTTTATTTTTTATTATTTTTTAACAGGCCACCAAGTTTTAGGTTGCAAATATCATATTTTATGTTCTTGACCAGCTCAGTTCTGCTTTGCTGCTAGTCCCATATTAAAGCAGGCTAAGAGATGGCGATGATTAAGCATGTAAATGTATCGTATTACTTGGGTATGGAAATGATTTCTGGACTCATAATCCAAGTTCGAATCTATATATCCAACATTGCACGGATCAAATTTGGATATGTGATTCAAAATATATATAGATAGATTTATATATATGATGAAATTTAGGAATCTAATTTCAGAATAAATCTCTTCTAATACATTCACCCTCAGTTTTCTTCAAAAGTAGATCACCTTAGATGAAATTTAAGTAAAATCGAGTATATACAAATTGGTTGTCTGTCGGGCATGGGAGGGATCCGTTACTTAGAAAAGTTGAGTAAAAATGCACGAAAATAAATTTGAATTCTCTCACGGATTTTGTACTAGCAGCATCTAGGAAGTCACATGAATATCAACCGCATCACCTTAATGGTCCGTTTGTTAGGATGGATAAAAAAAATAGTGATATAAAGTAAAAATAATAAACTTTCAATGCTTTAAAAGAGAAATTTTTTTTTCCCTCTTTTGTGTTTGGTAATAGGAATTGAAAGTAAGAATGATTGATTTTTTTGTGTTTGGTAAGATAGAAAAAAAAAATTTAAGAAAAAATATAAATACATATTTTACCATTATATGAAATTAATAAATACATAATATGTAATTGATAAATATAATATATGTATTACATCAAAAGACATATAAACAAATAATATATATTTCAATACACATAATTAACTTTTTATCCATTTTTTCTCCCAATTTTAAAAGGATTAATTTTGATAAATTGAAAAAAAAATTCATCCATCTTTTTTCCTTTCTTACCAAAGATGATGTTTTATATACCCCTTCATATTTTATATATTTCTCCAACTTTTCATCTTTCTATTTTCTCATCGTACTAAATGAAGCATAAGAATTTCTGCTATGGAGAGAGAGAAGCTACATGCCTATCCATCTTGACAAGTCCCCCCCTTTATCCTTCCCAAAAAAAAAAAAAACATCTTGTTCCAAGTTGATCTCCATCATCCAAAACTTCATGCCTAGGCACTAGTTTGATTGGCTTTCATTTAGAACCCCATTATACAATAGGGGAAAAGAACGTAAAGTTTCCCACCAAGACATTCACAGCTCGGGCTTGCTCCAGAAACACGAGGGGGGCTTGGCTCAATTCAACAGGCTGAGCTAAACATAACCATGAACAATATTCAAAAGCTTAATATGACCTGTAGGAGATTCATCAGTGTGTTTTTTCAGCCATAATGCTAATCAACTAAAGCTTTTCACCTCTTCAAAAGAATAAAAAAGCAAAAGTCTATCATCAAGCACAAAAGAGCAATTACAAAAAATTTCAAGGCAGTAGAAGTCACGGTAGAATTTAGCATGGTACCCGCATTGAGATTAGTTGCAGATTTAATTTCATTTGCTGCAATATCAGAACTGAGCACATCAATTGCTACAGTAACAAATCAAGTTATGGATGATTTGCAGACGGGGCATGATGTTTTTCTTCTAAGCCATGGGTCAATGCACTGCGATAAGTTAGAGTGGGAAGTTAGATTATTTGGAGACTTCTTTCAAAAAGAAATGAACTGAAACAAAGTTTAGAATTTCTTACGTCTTTGTGGAATTTGTGTAAGCAAGGGAGATGGCGTATGGTGTCTCCAATTGTTGGAGTTTCAAGACAAATTGCACACACTTCGTCAAAATTATCAGTCTGCAGTACAAAGAACAAGAACAAAACAGTGGTAAGTAATTAGAATAAATATGTGACAGCCTGGCACCTCGACAATCAAATGCATATCAGCAGCTATTTTTGTCTATTACCTGAACTGTTGACTGCGGCAAGCCATTCATCTGATCAAAAGATACACCAATATGGTGATTGTTCTCATCAAGAGCCAGTAACATTTCGTAATCATTTCTGGGGAAAAAACACGAAGCAGATTAAAATTAGTTTTCTGTATGCACGATTAGGATAAAGAAATACAGTAAATTTAATCCTCAAATAGCACTAAGACTATAAATGCTCCCAAATGACAGAGATATAGAAGCAATCTTTTTTCTAGATTCATGCTTTTCTAGGCAAGGCCTATAACTTTTCCTCAAAAGGATATTGCCAGTAAAGAAACGGCTTTTGAAGATGCTCAACCCAGAGAGCATAGTTTTATTCACCTGAGAAGAAAAAACCAAATCACATTTCTTTTGAAAATCCCCGACTATCCAATCATCTCAATCATAAACATCCATTACAAATTGGATGAAGGTAGTCTAATTTTACTCCCCAAATTATGTGATTTTGTTTCGTTTTGTACTAAAGATCTAATGATGTGGGCATTTTCCATCCAAAACACAACGGACGTTTACTTTTGAGACAATGTGAAACCCATTCAGTAGTTGCGAAGAGAATCTGAGCACCTTGATAGTTGGGGGGGGTAAAGTTAGATCAGAACCATAGATCAGTGGGTCAAATTATAATTTGTCAATATGTGTTGTCATGCATTTGAAACTCTTTTTTCCAAGTGTACTATTAAGTGAAAAAGAGTAAAAGATCTATGTGCATAGACGACATTCAGGAATGTAGGAAACAGTACACGCAAAATGGTTGACTACACATCTTTCTCATCAAAAAAAAAAAAAAAAAAGAAAGAAAGAAAGAAAACAATGCAGATAAGATAACACCAGAAAACTATTTGGTCAAATAACTATGATGTGTTTTAGGATATGGTGAGTAGTAAAATGGGTGGACATTAAGAGGCAATGGAAGGTTGCAACCGATCAAATATTGTATGTGTTGGCCTGCTTCTGTGCTTTTGTTCTCTTTTTTCTCCCACATTTTATAGAAAATGAAAACAAAAAACTTAGGAGGCTTTCCTTTGGGAGAATATGAATCCCATCCATCATCTGCCCTCTAATCTTGGCAACTCCACATGTGCGTGCAACATGAATGTTTTTTCTGAAAAAACTAAAATAAAGACATGTAAAACACCTAAAGAATATGTGCAACTCAACTAGATATTTTCTCATATTCACCAAACATATTTACATCGTCCATATTATGTTTATATAACTACAATGTCATACAATTTATACATAAGATTGTGTTTATATATTTTTCTAAGGGTTATATAGTCAATCAAAGGATTTTCAAAGATATTGACATATTAATATAACCTTGATAGAATCCAAGCTTTCATAGATTTTCAATAGAATGCAAAACCCTTTTTTGAGAGGAAAAACATGGTTGATCAATGAGAAGGTTTGAAATCTTTGGACGCAATGATGGGTGATTAAAAGAAAGAGGCTGCAAACATTCAAAGCCAGTAAGCCGACAGAATTCAAAATTATAAACTGGAAGAATCATAAATATGTCTTGGGAAAGAGGTGCTGGGTCAAAGGATAAATTTGTATCAAAAGTGTATCTTCAACATGATCAAACATACAACAAGAATAGATTTTTTGGTTAGGACAGTGGATGTATTTCAGTTCATGTTACAAAATGAAACGAAGATTTGTTAAAATCCTCAATTAAGCATTATATACATGCCTTGGCATTTGATTATGCAATAAATGAGGCCATGAAGTACAAATTCATTCATAATCCAAGGACATTGCATTTGCTAAAACTCTAACTTCATATCTAAAAGGGGATAAAAAAAAAGAACCCACTTAGTGAGTAACGGTGCCTATACGGACTCAAACCACAGACATTCTGGCACAGCTTTTTCCCTTACAACAATAGCACCATAATGAATATAAAGCCATTGATATTTTAAGTAATATCTTACTCATTGAAATCACGCGGAGCTTGAAGGAAGCTACTCATATCACTAACGGCCTCCATTGCTTCCAATATATGCATTCTCTGCATTGCAGAAAAAGGCATCAATCGTCATTTGAAATCAAGAACCTATAATAGTCAAAATAAAATAACAAAAGGATATAAAAAATCAGTACTTGAAATGATGAAAATGGGGAAAAAAGAAAAACAGAAAGTAGAAAAGAGGAAAGGAAAAAAGAATTTCCTGGTCATACAAACTTTAGCAAGTAGGAAGATGCATGTTCTCCAGTGCAGTGTGGAGGGTTGTGGTGAAGAAATTAACCCAAAGCATTGCAAAGGCAAATGGCTCAGGAAACTTCCATCAAACGGGAATTTTACGACTCTGGTTGATTGAGGAGGAGCATGGTTGTGATCAAGAATCTTTTATGTCTTGAAATGTGAGGATCCTTCATGGGGTGGATTGTGAAGATACAATCTCATAAGAGACTGGTTTTTTTTAAGGATATCAGTTTTTTAGTGGGGAGTGGCCAAAGGATCCAGTATTTGCATGATATGTGGTAAGGGAAGCTCTTTCAAAAGAGGTTGTCATAAATTGGCAACTGAGAAGAATGCAAGTGCTTCCAACATGAGATACATTTTGGGACATCATTTGATATGGAATCCCATATTTTGCAAGAATTTTCATTGATTAAGAACAAGAATAGGATGCTCCTTAAATAAGTCTAGTCTACAATAAATAACTCGGGGAAAAGGACTACCCCTCTGGTTGTGCACAAGTAGAGAGGGCTGATTAATAGTTACGTAATCTACAACTCACTAAAAGGTGGCAGCACATACCCCACTAAAGATGGCTTTACTTGGACTGACAACAACCAAGGAGGCCATACCAACAACTGATAATTGAGGGGGAATTTTTGGACAGATTGGTCTACAAACAAGGGAGCCAGTAAATCATAATATTCTTCCCCAGTGTAAGCAATGATCAAATTTCAGAGAGATGGATCATATCTAAATAAACGAAAGAGGAAATGTCTAATGGGTTCAGAGACTTTTTTTTTTTTTGATGAGAAACATACTTTATTGAAATCAAAATAAAATTTTACAAGAAAACACCGTCAAGTATGGACAAGAAATCCACCACAAGACCGGTCAAGAGAAGAAAAACCAAAAAAGCAAAATTACAAATCGCATGAAGCTTTCCAACTTGTCCTAATATGATATAAAAGAATATCTTGAAACTCCTTAATCATTGATGCCCAAATATAAAGCCTTTCACATAGTCCCTCAAGGTCTTCACACTTATTTTCAAAGATTCTCGCATTCTTTTCCTTCCAAATCACCCATAGTGTAGCAACAAAAGTACTATGGCAAAGGGTTCTCCATTTAATATTTATCCCAAAACCCACATCCTCCAAGCAAAAATAGATGCCATATTCCTTGGAGCAACCCACACAACTCCCATAAATTCAAATGGCTTATTCCATAGGGCCTACACCAAAGGACAATGTAAAAATAAATTATCCACACTCTCACCATCACCTCTATACATAATGTACCATTGCGGTTGAACACAAAAATTTGGTCTCCTCTTTTGAAGCACGTCATTTGTACTAATCTTAGCATGAGAAATTATCTATGCACAAACTTACACCTTTAAAGGAACATTCATCCTCTAAATCTTCAATGATGGATAAAATAATAGAATCAAAGGATTGTCGATTAAAGACTCAAAAAAGAATTTACAAGAAAAGACCCCCAATGAACTACAAGTCCAACACCTCCTATCTAAAGAATCTTGAACCAAAGTGACATTATTAAGTACAGAGAGAAGAATCAACAACTCCAAGCACTTCCGATCATTAAGATTCTTACAAAACCCAAAATCTCAAGAAATCAGATTAGAATATGAACGAATCATAGATGCAACCAAAGTATCATGATAACCAGAGACACCATTCAATCTAGGAAATATATTAGCAAAAATAGACTCCCCCGCCCACATATCCTCTCAAAACCGTACCCGATTTCCATTCCTTACAATGAATTTGACCCTCTAAGAAAAACAAGGAAGCCCCTAAAAAATGAACCTACAATGACTCTGAAAAGATCCCCTCTCATCCTCATTAGCATCCTACCCATTAGTCTGTTATAACTCAAACTTGCTTCTAATAACGACATGTCACAATGAATCTTGTTCCAAGGGAAACCTGTAAAGCCAATTCACAACCAGTGCTATGTTTCTATTCAATAAAATACCCACCTTCAACCTTCCCTTCTCTTTGGGTCTAGTCTCCACCTCCCATCTAATCAAATGGTCCTTTCTATCTTCTCTTATCCCCTCCCATAAATTATCCCTCATTAAGCCTTCAATTTTCCAAGCTAACACCCCAAGCATTTTAAAAAGGGAATGAAGTAAATTGGGATACTAGACAAAACCAAATAAATCAAAGATAATCTTTTTCCCCTTGAAATAAAAGATTTCTTCCACCTATCTAATCTTCTTTCCACCTTCTCAAAAACAGGATCCTCAAAAGTCTTGAACATCAGATTACAATGACAGATTAAATACTCAAACAGAAGTAAAATAGATCAATAATAATTCCACACAATTCATTATTTAATTTAATCACATATTTAACTTAAATTTCTTATGAAAAAATTATTATTTAAATATATTCACGTGCGGTGCAACGCACTTTGTGCATTGATACAAACTTAAAAACAAATTTTTCACTAAAAGCCATTTTTGGTGAGAATAGATACCCCCATGAAAAATCAATCTTTCATAGGCCATTTGGGCTTATTGAGTTTTTTTTTTTTTTTTTTTGAGGAGGTTGCTACTCTCTAACACAAAGCTCTTCTTAACTATCCTTTGATTTTCAAAAATAGCTCATACAAGAAATAAACTTGTTTTTCTTTAGGCATGGGAGAAAGTTTCCACAACCACAATTGAAATAGTGTCCACCTTTTTCACGACATCCAAATATTGTTTCCATCTGAAAAACACAACTGAACTTTCCAAGGGACTGCTAAAATACGAAAGGATAAGAGAACTGGAAATATATAGGCGGAAGTTGTAAAAGAAACAAAAATCCCAAAAAAGAGAAAGTACTCTTTTTCACATGTGTAAGGATGAGTATCAAGGGAATACTTCTATACTAGCTGTGACTCAAATGGCATGAAATTTTCAAACGATACCAAGATTATGCTTTATAGATCATCAAACTTGAGATATTTTCTCTTTATATTTCAATTGGTCTAGATTTATGCATGGAGCTAGGAAATGCTTCCTCGATCATCACACTTAGAAGTTTTTTCAACCATCATCCAAATTCCAGCACCTAGGAAACATGGACACTTAGTTTTGGTCAAAGTGTAAGTGTCAAATGCGTCTAGGACATGGATATGCTCAGACACGTGTCAGACACAATAAATTGAGCGTTTGATATACGTGCTTCTTAGTCTAACACCACTAGAGTGCAACTGCAACACATTTTCCTTTATTAATTAGTCAAACAATAGCAAAATATACCAACAAATCACAATAGCAGGACCAACTACAACAACCAAAAATTTGTATACTAATTTTTCTTATTCCTAGTTATTCCTCAAAACACATTTTATTCGAAAAAGGTCGTAAAAACCATTATCCAACTTGATCCCCCATTAACCAACGATGATAGGAGGGGTACTTAGTACTGACAAACTACTTTTATTATTTCAACAAACTGACTATTCTCATAGTCAAACCCGTAACCTTGTAGTTGTTTCCCAAAAATTTGAACATTGGACTATCCAATGTTCTCCAAAAGAGTTTACAAAAAGACTCATAACTTATGATTCTAATTTTGCTCCCACTATGAGATAATTATGAGAAGACCATCCTTAATTATTAAGCTTAGCAACACATCTAGCTATAAAAAAGTGAAATTTCAAGCTTCAACCAATTTCATTGACTTAGTAGTTCGGTTGAAAAAGCATATAAAAATCAAGTCAATTCTAGACAACAAATCTTAATCTAAACTTGAAAGTGAAATTTTGAACTTATATGATCTTACTAGTCAATGTATGAAACCGAAGGCACTTTGCAAAATAAAAAATTCAGAAATTTGAAGTATTTGGCCTTCTTTTTTTTTAATTACACAATTTGAAATCAATCTGGATTCACTATTTTTCTAAAAATTTTGGAAAGAAAACTGGGCTCCCAAAAAAATCTTAACTTGTGTACATATATCATAATATATCCAAAACTAATTATTGGGCTCACCATCATGATAGTGGCCTACTATTTACAAACAACCACAATATTTACATATTAATCGTAAACTTGCAAATGAGAAATATATCATAACTTCAATATTACCATATCCAAACAAACAAATGGATGGGTTTCGGTTGGTTTGTTGGGGTGCGTGCAAAAAGGGGGATTTGAATTTTGCGGGGAAAATTTTTTTGGAGACTAAATTTGGACCATTGGATTAAGTTGGATGTATGTTGGATCAATCTCCGTCACTCTTGTGCTAAGCTAAGTGAAGGAATTCAAAATGAGTTGTGTTTTATTATAGATGACGTAATGCCTCCCATTTTTTACAATAAAGTGTGTGTGTGTGTGTGCGTGTTGTTCAAAAAAACAAGTTAAGGGAAAAAAATATAAGCTAATACCATCTCGACATCCACATTTGGTGGAAACAAGGAGTTTCTCTCTCGAGATGATACTGTACGAGATTGTCCACGAAAACGACTCCGTAGTTGCGCCAACCTTGTCGAGGAAGGAACCCGTGCCTGAGGGCCTCTTCGAATTATAGGGCTCCGAGAAGACCTTGATTGTGACTGTCTACGCAAGTTTGGTATCAATGAGCTGCTCTGTTTAAACAAATAGCATATTATCTCTTCAGAAAACTAAATTGTAACAATTTCAAAGATAGAAAATAAATCATGGAAACTTCACAAGAAGCTCAACCCTATAAATCTAAGAAAAGTATTGATATGATTATTTGCAAACTAACCTGATTTGATTATCACACAGTAATATACAAAATCAAAGGACAGAAAAATCCTCTCATATCTTGGTACTTATGACAAGGACAAAAAAATAGATTGCATAAGTTGGAAACTTCTTAAAAATTGCACTAATTGATGCAGCACAATAAAGCTATCTCTCACCCAAATTCAGCCATCTACTCCACCAACAAAAAGAGAAAACTGCAGGAGGCCAAGGTTAGGGGAAGTAAGAATGTTATTGTTCTCAAGTTCAGTCTAACTGTATCCAAGATTATAAACACCAGGATTTAATTGAATTGGGTATATGAGCTTTTTTCTATAATTACAAAGACAAAAATACACAATGTGAAAATATTTTAGACAGTGTTCACAACAGCAAATCAATTATTTTAAGCTATATTCTATTCAATAGCAGTACAAAATTCAACTTAAAAGGTTCAGTTGGTTTCCGAAAGCCATCCTAAATGCTTAGTTTTTGCTAAATGGACTTTTGGCAGGTGCATTCCTTGCGAAAACCATTTGATACATCACCAAACATTCTTAATGGCTTCCGAAAGACTTCCTGGGCTACTAAGCCTGTCAGAGCCACCCGAAACCTCCTCCAATGACCATCTCAGCCATTTTTGACACAATTGATCCGCTTTACAGGACACCCTTGTTATCTAAGATTCTAATCTCCTTCCGAGGAAGGCCATCATGAGCTTTTTTTCAAATCAAGATATTAAACTTCTCTCAATCACAACATTTCCGAATCCCTAGGAAATCTTTCCATGTTTTGTTACATAATAATATGATTTCAAATAAGCATTTCCAATTCTCTTTCATCTGTGTCCATAATTAAACAATAAAATTCAAATTTTCTGGCACGTGTTCAACACAGATACACCACCTTGTTAAGAGTGTCCAAGCTTCTTAGCTTATATCCATCCTTTCTACAACTCCTATCCACTCCAACAACTAAACACATTGCCTTAAAAAGTCAAAGCAACTCTGGAATGTTTCTAATTAGGAATCTTACTGCTAAATATCAAAATTTATGATTACATATAAATTTCCTCAATAATAAGATAATGTAGATCTCATAATGCTTGTAGCTATGGTATTATTAGAGGATCGTGACATATAAAAAGACCCAACTCACAGGATGGAATAAAGAGTCACTTCCACTAGAAAAAGCCTGCCGAGTATCTTCCGCTTGCTGCAATGTCAATGCTATATGTGCATCAATCTGCAATTTAGTAGAAACAAATCTGAGAAAAAAGCTAACCAAGTGCCAGATCATCATTTAACAAAAATAAAGAAAAATAAGGTAGGGGCAAACCTCGCCAACTCTAACTCTAGGGACCTCATTATATAATTGCTCTTGGAGCTCGCGAGCCAACAATTCATCTGCTTCTACCTGTCTGGCCCTAGCACCTGAGTCAATATTACTACTGCAAACAGTATTTTGGGGGGCACTATGTCCTACTTCAGGGGAAAACTCATCAAGTTCAATATCTGGATCCAAAATGCCTACACCATGACGATTCTGATTTCTACGTGATCTCAGATTCATTGATACCCCAGATGAGCCAAGAAACACAATTTCTGGATCATCAAAAGCAGATGTAGAGCATTCACCATGATTCCTTGAAGTGGAGCGCTGCCTCTGTCTTTTGATAACTGTGTTTACAGTAGGAGGACCCTCAACAGATTGGCGCAATTCAGGCCTAACATGGGACCCAGTCTGAGCTACAGGTGGAGTACACCCATCCTGATGAGACATTGAATCCTGATCATTGGAATAGTCATTACGAGTTCTAGCACTATCCCCATTCCCAATGTCTCTTCTCACCATCATGTTCTCATACTGTTGATGAGCAGAGTATGGATCACCCTTTTCTCTGCAAAGATGCTGGGCCTCAACAGAAAAAGGGATATTTTTGTTCTTTAATCTGTTATGAGTACTTCTCGATTTACGTAATCCTTCAAAGCATCTAAATGCATCTCCATTGGCATCACTAATTAGAATAGCATTCTCATTAATATTTGTTAAACTCCTGCAAGTATATAACATGCAGATGTCTCGAGATAAAAGACTAAAATTAATGTGCTAAAACCTCTACCAGCAACAGGAATGTTGATTTTAATAGTTTCTTACATTACATAATCTCATTCACCTAAAAGCCATGTAAAAAACCTAAACTGTTTGCACAGGATTCATTATACCAATATGTCAGACTACTTATCAGCACTTCTGTCTTTTTCTTATGAAAAGAAATATAAGATTCAAAAACTATGAAGCATGAACATAGAGAAACTAAAAAAAACAGGACATGGTTAGGAGTTGGACAACAAAGAAGTCCATCTTCATAGTTACAATATACTAATATGAAATGAGCAATAGGACAATAAATCTTGAAAAATGAATCCAGCCCCATCATTGTACCCTGGCAAGAGTCATACTGCTTTTACTATCTAATTCAAAAGTAACTGCAGTCTATTGCTCAAATTGCCATTGACGTGTATCACCCCGCTCTTCCTCCCCATGACTGCATGACAGCAATAGGTATTCTATAACATGTACAAACCAGCTAAGTTAATTCTCCTTTAATTGATCCATGGAACTAAATTTTGTTTCAAAATGATTGAAACGTATCCGTTTCCATGAAACCGAAATAAATCATTGATTGAATACCTAAATTTCTATGTTTCAAGGTGTTTTGATCAATGTTTCCGGATGTATTGACCAATGTTTCGAAAATAAATTTTCAAAATTTTTCTTTGTTTCCATCCTATTTCCAAAATATTACCGAAATGTTTCCATTTTCAAACTAACTGAAACTATGCACTGAAACAAAATTCCGATCCTTGAATTGATCTACTATTGGTGCTACTTTAACCATTGCACATATATATTAATTCTTACCACACATTAATCTTAACATTCTCATTTCTGACACAATTTTCGAGCATATTTTTACTTAAATGCCCAACACTCAGTACAGTCAAACATTGGTTATTATAATGGTTGTCTTGTAAAACTTACCTTAGACAATTCGTGGTGAATACCTAGCTCATACCTCTTCAAGGTTTCACTAAGCTACCACAGTCACTACCTTTATATTTCTTTTTAAAAAAAAAATTAGGGAGGAGTGAAGAGGAATGGGAAATTGTGAGTGTATATAAGTTTTTATAATAGGGTATATTTATTTTTTGGGTACTCTAGGGTTTTTCTAATTTTTTTAGGCTATATAGTTTATTGACTTGAGAGGAAGTATTGTTTGCACCTAGTTTAGTGAAAACTTACCTTAGACGATTCGTGGTGAATACCCAAGTCATACCTCTTCAACGTTTCACTAAGCTTCCACAATCACGGCCTTTATATTTCTTTTTAAAAAAAAAATTAGGGAGGAGTGAAGAGGAATGGGAAATTGTGTATATAAGTTTTTATAATAGGGTATATTTATTTTTTAGGTACTCTAGGGTTTTTCTAATTTTTTTAGGCTATATAGTTTATTAACTTGAGAGGAAGTATTGTTTGCACCCAGTAAAACTTTTATGGTATCAGAGCAGGGTCTTAAGTGGTCAGTAGGTCAAATCTCTTATCCATTTGAATCCTGATATGCAAAGTTGTTAGTTTGTTGACCCCACATGCAAGTCCGAGTCATACGTGATGGAGGATGTTAAAAAAACTTGTATCCCACATATAATTAGGACCACCAAGGTTGGTTTATATACTTGAGGTCCACCCATTTTCAATTGATTTTGGGTTAGATACTCTAGTACCACCTTTGAGAGGCCTAACTCTGAACCTATGGTCTCTTGCTCAACCTAAACAATTGTATCCTATTTGTAATTGCAATCCACATGTGATACTTGATTTTGCTGATACTTGTTTTTCTCTTTCTTATTGTGCTTTTCTTACTTCTAATCATTCTTGTTTGAACCTCAATCTTATAAAGAGGCTTGTACTAATCTTAGTTGGATTAATGCAATGCACGATGAATTGGCTGCTCTTGATAGGGCTAATACGTGGTATTTAGTTCCTTTGTCTACCAGTAAAAATGTTGTTGGTTGCAAATGAGTTTACAAAGTTAAGACTCATTCTGGTGGTTCCCTTGAGCATTATAAAACTCGGTTAGTTGCCAAAAATTTTCTCAAGAATATGGCATTGACTATGAGAAAACATTTGCCCTTGTTACCAAAATGACTACTTTTCTTCTCTGATTTATGTTGATGCAATTCATCAAATGGCCTTTATTCCAATTTGATGTTAAAAATACATTTTTGAATGAGAATCTCAATGATGAAATTTATATGTGTCCACCTCCTGGTCTTTCTCATTCTACTGGTTATGTCTATCACTTAAGTTGGGCTCTCTATAATATGAAGCAAGCCCCTCGATCTTGGTATGAACATTTTCAATCTGTAGTTACTCATATTGATTTTACTTCTAGTGCTCATGATCATGCTCTATTTGTTCGTCGTTCTACCCAGATTGGTTTTTCTCTTATTATATGTGGATGATATCATTATCATTGATCCTGATATTGTTGCTATTAACAAAGTCAAGCAAAATCTTTTACTTGAGTTTGAAATGAAGGACTTGGGTCCTCTATTTATTTCTTCGATATTGAGATTGTTTTTTCTCCAAAAGGCTACCTTTTATCACAGTCTAAGTATGCTAATGAGCTTATTCATTACGCCAGCTTAACAAATGATAACGTTGCTGCCACTCCTATCGAGTTAAATGCCAAATTCTCAAGTTCTAACGTTGTTCTTCTTGATGATCCTATATTATATCATACGCTGGTCGATTGTTTGATTTATCTTACTGTTACTGGCCTAACCATTGAATATGCAAATCATATTATTAGTCAATTGTCTCTGTTCCTCGTATTAATCATTGGGTTGCCTTAATTCGTATTTTACAACATACACCATATTTCAGAGCTTATTACTAACATCGACCTCCTCTCTGACTTTACATGCCTATGCTATTGCTGATTCAACTAGGAATATTACTTATCACAAGTCTACCACTAGTTTCTGTTTTTTCCAAAGTGATTCTCTTAACTCTTGGAAAAGTAAAAAATAATTAGTTATTGCTCATTCTACTACTGAGGCCGAGTATTATACTATGGCATACACCACTGTGGAGATAGTTTGGCTTCGTCGGTGTTGTTTTCTCCTCTCCAACTCCTATGTACTATGACAACAAAAGTGCTATCTAGATTGCTCATAATTCAATATTTATTTCATGAGTGCACAAAGCATATTGAAATTAATTGTAATTTTATTCGTCAACATCTTCAGTGGACACAGTTACATTGTCGTTTGTATCTTCTTTGTTACAGCTTGCATATCTTTTCACCAAATCTCACACTTCAGCTCGTTTTTAATTCTTATTTGAAAAACTCTCAATGCTCTCTGGACTCGCAACATGAGTTGAAAGGGGGACGTGAGAGTGTACATAAGTTTTTTTAATAGGGATATATTTGCCTTTTGGATAGTCTAGAGTTTTTTTAATTTTCTTGGGCTATTAATATTCTTGTAATCTAGTTTTATTGACTTGAAAGAAAGCATTATTTGCTCTGGTTAAAGTTCTTATTTATATTATTAATAGTGTAGGGTAATATAGTAATTCCCATAATATTTGTTTATTATAAATAAGAGAATGTAGGGCAACATAGCCTACACAACTGATTATTCTCTTTCATTCTCTCCTTCTACGCTTCTTTCTCTAACCGTAATAACAATTTACTATTTAACATCGTTATTTATTAGATGTTGCTTGTACCTTAATGTTTAATATGCATGTGCCAAAATTATATTAAGCTGATGCTATTTTTACTTCAATTTATCTTATCAATCAAATGTCCTCTCCTATTTTAGACAACAAATCTCCTTTCTTGTTGCTTTATCTTGATAAACCGTCATTTGATTTCACTCCTCGTGTCTTTAATTGTATTGTATTTATTCATTTTTTTGGTCTAGATTGGAATAAACTTTTACCTCTCAGTTAAATGTGTACCTTTGGGCTACTCTTGTGCTCAGAAAGGTTACCGGTACTATGATCCTGTTTCTCATAGATACTATGTCAAATTGCTGATGTTACCTTTTTTTAGTCATCTTCCATCTTTTTTGTGTTAGGCGATATAATTTCTCCAGATTTAGCCTTTTCCAATCAGGGAGAACTCTTATTACTTATTGTGCCAAACAGTGTATCATATTCCTCCCCGAGTCCTATTCCACCCTTACAAGTTTATCATCATTCTAAGGACTGACAGGTTGTTCCATATGCTACAGCTCCACTGCCATCACTTGATTCTACTGAGGTCTTGCCCCTTAAGCCATTATCTAGTTCATTGTCTACTGATTTGCCTATGGCATTGAGAAAAAGTACCTATAATTGTACAAATTATTTCATTTCTAATTTTGTTTCTTTGTATCGGCTTTCACGTTGTTCCTAGTTCTTTGACATAGGCATTGATCTCTCCTCGTTGGAAACTAGCTATGGATAAGGAGATGAATGCCCTTAATGAAGAATCAAACATGGGATCTTCCTACTCTTCCTTCTGGTAAACCACCTGTCAGTTGCCATTAGGTCTACACAGTAAAGTATCATCTTGACAATTGAGCATTTGAAGGCCCGCTGGAGGCTATACCCAAACATATAGCGTGGATTACTGTGAAGCTTTCTCTCATGTTATCTGTCTTAAATTTATTAGAGTTCTTATTTCGGTTGTAGTGAGTTGTGATTAGCCTCTATATCAACTAGACAGCAAAAATATTTTTTTATATGGAGACCTATAGGAGAAGGTATATATCGTACAACCTTCAGGTTATGTTATATTGTATCTGATCAGGAACAGTTAGTGTGTCATCCGAAAAAAATACTATATGGTCTGAAATAATCACTACGTGCTTAGTTTGATAAGTTCAGTACTGTTGTACTTCAGTATGATTTTTAGCATTCTATTTCAGACCATTCAGTATTTATTTGTTGTTCTTTCACAGATGTCATTATTCTTATTGTGTATGTTAATGACATTATTACTAGTAGTGATGACTCATATGGTATTGCCCACTTTAAGATTCATTTAGAAAAACAATTTCATACTAAAAACTTGGGTCTTCTTCGTTATTTTCTTAGGATTGAAATTACACGGACAAAGGAATCTATCAATTTGTGCCAACAAAAGTATGTATTAGATTTATTGTCCGAAGCTAGTACTCTTGGTACATGTCCAGCTAATACTCTCATGGACTCCACAATTAAGTTGGATGCTGATAGTGGTGAAATTTTTTATGATATAGGGCGTTATCAAAAGTAGGTTGGTAAGTTGATTTACCTTACAGTTACATGTCCTAATATTACCTATGTTGTTGATATGGTTAGTCAGTATGTTGTTGATATGGTTAGTCAGTTTATGCATGCTCCTCATAAACCTTATTAGGAGATTATTTGTCATATTCTTCGGTATCTAAAAGGAGCACCGAGTAAAAGATTATTATATCGTCATTTATCCTCCATGATTGGTACTGATTTTTTTGATATTGACTAGAAAAGTAGTCAGTCGTATTGATAGATAATTTACTACAGGTTATTGCATATTTATTGGTGATAATCTTTTTACTTAGCGTAGTAAGAAACAAAATGTGGTTGCACGTTCGAGTGTAGAGGCTGAATACTCAGGCCATGACTCATACTGCATGTGAGATGTTGTGGGTTTGTTCACTACTTCGTGATATGGGAATCAATGTGCCCTCTCCTATAGAGATGCATTGCAACAACCAAGCAGCTATTTTCATTATTAGCAACCCGATATTCCATGAGAGGACTAAACACATTGAAGTAGATTTTCATTTTGTTCGAGATCTCTTGATGCGTAAAAAGATTATCACACCATACATCAAGTCTAGTGACCGGCTAGGTGACATCTTTACAAAATCATTGGCTCGATCTGTTTTCAATAAGCTTTGTTCTAAGCTGAACATTTTTTATCTTTATCCTCTGAGTTGAGGGGGAGTATAAGAGTTCTTATTTATATTATTAGTAGTGTAGGGTATTTATAATTTCCATTATATTTGTGTACTATAAATAAGAAAGTGTAGGGAAGCATAGCCTAGACAATTGATTAATCTATTTCTTCTCTCCTTTTATCTTTCTTTCTCTGACCCTAATACTAATTTACTATTTTAGTGCACCCAATAAAAATTTCAGAAGCATGAAAAAAAAATACAAAGTTCATAAGGACAAAGCGTCCTCTGAATGGAAATAAGAAAGAAAGCATAGATGCGTGCTAACATCTGCGAAAAAATTAATTAAAAAACAAAGGAGCCAAGAGTTGGCAAACAATTCCTCTAAAGCGATCACTTCTCTTTTAGATAAACTATCCACCCCTATTACTGGAAGAAACCATTTATGAGCACCCCTAGCTTCTCTGATACATGAGTAACTTGTGAAGAATGTCTTGAAATGCTTCCACCTGTCATCGTTCAATTAACCCCAAAAATACCCAGGTTTGCCACAGAATAACTATAGTAGTTTAGATAGGTCCTGTTCACAGTGGGAAATGGTATGGCATACCAAAAGATGGTCTTGTAGTAAATGAAAAGCGCCTTCACCTTCAAAAACCATGGAAGCCAAGGGTCGACAAATGAAAACCGCAGTCATGATCATCTTCCGGGGAAAGAGCTGCTTTAGCTACAGCAAAAGCTAATAATTTGAGAATTTTCCAAATCTACAGACCACTTTCACCCCCAAAGTCATAACAGCTGGAACCAAGGAGGGAGGATATAGTCATATGTGACACGAACTAGCTAATTCATACTAGCCAAATTATATCAGTCGCTTCCAAACAAAAAAATTGATTCACTGACTTGCTGCTGTTTAAATTTGCCATATGCGGGACAGGAGTCTAGAGGATGATAACAGTCTGTCCTGTAATGTCAAGATGGAAAACCTCCAACTGCCATTGATCCCAGTTGGTGGACCCTAGTTAGTTCTTTATGCTCATTGTGTTTATTACATAGGTTCACCGTGGCACTGGCAATGTTAAAAGAGATCTCTATATTGGGAACGATGGATGAATAGACAAGGATAATGGAACAAGTGAAATAGAATACAAACAACCTTTTCCACAGGCTATATCCAAATTCAGCTGGCACAGAAGTAATCAATGCATATAAGAAGAGGACAGAAACGATGATGAAAACTGTCATAGACTACATTCTTAATGTGAAATGCCTTTCTAAACCCACCCTCCAGATCTAAGGGAGTGCTATTTTGTGAAGTGTGAACAGAACTTGCTCTCATAAAATTTCTCCCAGGGAAATAAAAAGTTTTGTCAAAGAGAACAGTTTTAAACTGAAGATATCATCAATGAAATTTTTTTATATATATAATTGGTTTAACAAATCCAAGCAAAAGGAAGTGTTACAAATATCAAGATTGAATATAAAAACACAAAACATTCCCAAGTTTTGTAAGCAGGTTACATCTCCATAATGGGTTATGGGTCACCCCGAAGAAGATCATAATATGATAGATCTAACAAGTGCTAGTTGTTAAAAGAATTTATTTTAAAAAAACCATAAATGAAGTACCTGCTAGACGAATGTTTGTTTTTTGCATCAGGCTCGTTCAGTGAAGAAAGTTGATTCATGACCCCTTTTCCCTTGGCACTTTGAGAATTGTTGTCTTCAGCAAATATATCCCTAATATCAATTGGATTTCGTGGAACATTAGACACCACAGTCTCTGTATTACTCCGTCCATCATCTACAGGGCCACTGCCCTGCTTCCCAGATAACTTGTTGACCTTTGCTATATTATGTGGAGATATACATCCATTCCGCACCAATCTTTTTTGCCTACTGACACTAGGTGGGGTAATAATAATAGAGTGAACAGACGCAGATGCATTCTTTCCTAGTTTAGGTTGAGAATCACCAACAATACCACTTCCTTTGCCAGAATCAAAATTTGAACCCACTTCACGCACATGTAATTTTTCTTTTCCTTTACAGGCTTTGCTGGATTTCATTAAAGAATTTGCTAGGGTATGAAAAGAAGAAAAGCCATGGGCTGAAGTTGATCCATTGGATTCAGCAGCTTGACTATTTCCCAATGCTCCACCTGGAAAAGCCTTTTCAAATTCCTTGGCATGCCCATTCTGTTCTGCCAAGTCTACAACACCACCGTCCCGGTAAGCAGATGAATGAGAAGTACGCACAGCTTTCCCTCTCTCAGTTTGTTGAAAATGAACATGATCTTTGGTCTCATTTTTTGCAGTCTTTTCTGCCACCCTTCTCCTAAATAAAAGGCCATTATTAGAAGATGAATTTCCTAATGTAGAAATTGTGGCATTACAGTGGTTCCCAGAGTTGTCAGAAATATTGAGACTTCTTGGAGGACAAAAGGGCCGCCTTCTGCTCCCATTATCAATAACCACTTTACTATCGTCCCTTAGCCGATCTGTAACTCCTCCATCAAAAAAATTCCTATTTTCTAAATGATCAGCCACAGATGAATTACTCTCTTTTTTTATATAACCTCTACCACTACTATTCTGCGCAGCTAGCCTATCAGGGGTGTCAGGAACATCCATGATGTGATCGATGTCCATATAATCCATGGTCTGCATATCAAATCAGCAAAACCATCAATAGCCCTAACTAACACCCAACCTCGAATTCATATCAATAGCTTTTTGGAAATGATCTCCCACTCAATCAAACTAAATATCATAGAATCAAATTTTAAAAAGAAAACACAGTATAATATACATCCAACATGTTAAAAATTTTATTTTTTTAACAATTGTGGTTCAAATTGCACCAAATGATCTTACAAGTCTAATCTGCCTTTAAGTTTGGCAGATAAATTCTTTATTAAATACTAACATCAGCTTGTGGAATTGTGTACTACAATCTCCTGCAAAAGCAACAAGATAGAAGGGCACCATACAGATAAATTCTTTATTAAATACTAACATCAGCTTGTGGAATCGTGTACTACAATCTCCTGCAAAAGCGACGAGATAGAAGAGCACCATGGCACCACCATACAGTGGAAAAGAAATCAAGGTATATGCAAAACCCACACAGACTAACTTGTGTCTGGGGGAGAAATTTGCAGTTCAGAAACTCACATTCAATTAAGCAGAAAACCTGGATGGTGGGAATCCCCCGGCCACTGGGAGGTTGGAGCTTTGGCTAGGCTGTGGTTGGGCATGGGGAAAAGAATAGATAATAAAGTAACCTTATATTTGTAATTGTCACCGAATTAATTTTCATATTAAAAAAATAAATTAGCAATGGTGAGAAAGAGAGAGGGGTCAAAATATTGGAAGAGAAAATGATGAGTTTGACGATGATTTCTTCAACATTTCAGAAGAATTAGGTTGGAATGAATTTCCTATCATCATTTCGAAGTATTCAACTAACTAAATATTATTTCAATTGAGAGTAAAAAAATTAATACAAATTTAAAATGATTTAATATATTAAATAAATGAATTTTTTTGTGGGACAAATTTAAAATATAATAAAACCTATAGAAAAAAGTTTTTGGCGAAACAAAATTGAGTGGGGAAGACCAATGTAGCTCCGCCACCGGAGATGGACAAAAATTATGTGTATCTGATTAAGATCAATTGATCTAACTGCAGATAACGACGCATACATTTTTCACAATCCGCAAATTACAATAATTTAAGAATGTAGATGATAAACATAAATATCCAGATGTATTTCCACAAATAATCAAAAATCTAAAATTCACCAAACAAATTGATAAAACTGTACATATAACTACATCCATACACAAAAATCTCAATCACAGAATAAAGAATGCAGGTCAAATATTGGATAAAAAATCATGAGGAAAAAATGCAGACATTAACCATCGTTAAATAAAAAAGATCTATCAATCCCACAAGCATCCTCATGCTAACACGAATTTGGAAGGAACTAAAGTCACATAAAAGACACAACCTTCACGGCCAGTCACTAAACTGAAACAAAAAAAAATTAACAGCGAGAAAGAAAAAGGATCGAAGAGTCATATGAGAACGGCCAAATCAAACAGAAATATACCCAATTCAAGATTTTAACTTCCAACAGCATATATGAATAAAATAGGGAAAAAATGAAGAAAGAGTCGATAAAGATCGAACCATAGCTGGGTTTTCTTGTTTTTTCATTCAAATTCGATAGAGAGGACCCCTGAAAAAGGTACTAGGTTCGTTATATCCCAAGGAAGGAGATGGGGGCTCACAAACATGGCCAATCTCAATACTCCATCTCTCTCCCCCTCTCTGCAACTTTCTCTCTCGAAAACTCAAGGAGAGAGAAAAATTGATAGGCCCACCTCGGTGTAGGTACATAAGAGACACTCTGTGATTTGACTTTTGAATTCAATAACTCAACCAAGACCGAAATTTAGAGAAGCCCGGTGGCCCAACAGTCCATGGCTCGATCCGTCGGCCTGCGAACAGCGTCTGGTGGGGAAGGCTGTGGGTCTAACTTTCGGACCGACTCGATCCAAGAAGTCCTGCAACTGCAATTAGATGTGCCCTATCTATTAGCCCAATAAAATGGCTCAAGGAATAAGAAAGTTGGCAGCCCCAAAAGTTGGGGTACAACTCGAGAAAATTTTAGGGTTCCTCTATTTTGCCGTTGATGTTGGGTAAGTATTAAAAAATTTGAAAATTCTTGACTAACCAACTCCATTTGGTATGATGAGGTCTGAGCTAGAGACATCTAAGGTCCAAACTCAAGTCATTTACAATTATAAACAAATAGAGTAAACACCTAAAAAAAAAGTCATGTAGAGATTTCAAAAGAAATTTAGACGTGATAGAATTTCAACTATAATTAAAAAATCAATAAAGAAAATTTTCCTAAGTCAACGACAATTTCACAATGTCGAAATAAAGGGTTATAATAGTCAAGAGAGAGATCGAGGAGGCCGCACTGGTGGTCGTACTAGAGGTAATGGCGGTCGTAGAGTTCCTTGTTCTTGCACTCATAGCGGTCGTGGAGATCATACTGTTAATTATTGTTGAGATTTATATAGCAAATCATCTGGTGCTACCAGTCAAGTCTTCTATCAAGATTATATTTCCTCTCTATTTGCTCCCGATCTTTAAGAATCTATAATCAGCTCCATAGTTTCATGCTAACAACAATATCTACAACAAATATATAACACATTCCCCATATAAAGGGAATGAAAATCAAGAAATACCAATGAGTAAATAATTTAAATATATAAGATCGATCATTAAAAATGATGGAGATATTGGAAATTATATAACTCATAAAATCAACTTCGGTTGGCTTAAGTGGAGAAAAACCTCTGATATATTATGTGATAGAAAGATATCATTAAAATTAAAAAGTAAGTTTAACTTAACAGTTATAAAGATAGCAATGTTGTATGAGATAGAATATTGGGCAACTAAGAACTAACATAGTGACAAAATGAGTGTAGCGAAAATGACAATGCTAAAGTAGATGTGTAGAAAAACTAAAAATGATAGAACACGAAATGACCGTATTAAAAACATGATAAGAGTAGCTCCAATTGAGGAAATGTTAAGAGAAAATAGATTAAGATAGTTTGGTCATATTCAACAGAGATTGATAGAGACACCGGATCGAAAAAGTAAGAGAATTTCTCTTAATGATACCAAAAGTAGAGATAAACTTAATTTAATATTGAACGAAATAAAAATAAAAATATATGTAAATATTTAACTTAAATGAGTGTATAGTATATGATCGAAATAAATAGCGAAAACGGACTCATATAGGTGACCCCAAATAATTAAAATATAAAACTTGGTTGATTTAGTATCACTTACATAGCCGGAGGGAGGTAGGGGCCAAGGTGGGCACGTGCCCCCACTCAAAATTTTTTTTTTTTTAGTTACATATATGTATTATAAATTTATACATATATATTATGTGTGTCCTCTCATTTATATTAGACCCATATTATTTACCCAAAATAAATAAACAATTAAGTCCATTTAAAACAAAAAAAAATTGAATTCACTATTACCTATCTAAACTTATTCAAAAATCAAATATTTGACCTATCACAATTCACCCAAACCTATTAAAAAAATAAAACTTTTAGTCCAACGTTAAAAACAAAATTTTTGGCCCAACATTAAAATCAAAATTTTTGGCCCACCATCATTAAAAAATAAAATTTTTGGCCCACTTGACTAAAACCTATCTTATTTTTCCTTTTTTTTTTTCTTTCTGTATCACTCACTCCCAACTGTCCACTGTCCAGCCACAAGAAAAATAGAAAAAATAGAGAAAAACTCAACACACCAGAAGCTCAGTTCTTTGAGTTTTTTTGTCATTCCTTGTACCAACCTATAAAATTATTTTATACATTATATTTACCCCCTAAATTTCTAGAAATTTTAATAATGGTTCTAGTCTTTATTTTTTAATAAATTAGTTGACCACTAACCCTCTAAAATAAATGTTAGTTTTGGATTGAGTCAATGTTTTATTTGTATATTGACAAAAATACAATATTTCTTTTTATCTAATACAATGTTCGTTACTTTTCAAAAATAATTTTTAATTTTTATTTACCATTTTTTTAGTAATAGTAGTCTATAACCAAATAAAATACGAAAATTAATTTACATTTAATTCATATACAAAATTTTAGAGATTTTAAAAAAATTTATATTTTATTGAAATATATAATTAGGTTAAAATGTACTAAAAAAATTATTTTGTGTCTTTTTGTTAAGATTTTATTTCAGCTAAATAAAAATTGAATATACTATTTTATAATAATTTAGTGTTGATTCTTACTTTTTTTTTTTATTCTTGAACTGAATTTTTTTATATTAATTTCAGCTTAATATTTTTTTATACCAGTTATATTTTGCCTATATCATAGATATTCATGGCTCCGCCCTTGACAATATACATTTTTTTTTTGAAATTTTTTATGTTAAATAGACTTCATATATCAAATATAATATAATAAATATAAATATGTTATATAGTGTGATTGGTTAGAAGGAAACAAATTAGAGTGCATAATTAAAGTGTCCATCCTAAGCAAAATTTTTGGCTCCGCCCTTGATCACTTATCATGTATTTTAACTAAGACCCCTAGTACACAAGTAGATCATTTACTCATTAATAATGGATAATCCATTAAAGAGGAAATTAGAGATAAAATTTACTGAAGACTAGAGTGAACCTGATTCCATACTAAGGGAACCAGTCTCCATAAAACGAGATTCGACATTATTACATCTATACTACTAATAAAAATACTTTAATATGAAAGACTTTTAAATCTCTATTTTAACTTTATAAAAGATTGTAAATACCACTCTATCCTTTCACAATTAAATATCTAAATTATAATCATATCCTTATATCTTTAAATTTCTAAATTATCTATAACATATCTTTTAATTATCTATTCTCTATATATAAATATTAATTTCTTTAATTATCAAACGAGATTCTCATAATCTTTAATACTCCATTTGGTAAGAATGATGGAAAGTAAGAGAAATAGAAAGTAGGAAGAATATATTTTCTAGCCTTCAAGGAAGAAAAGTATAAATGATACACTTTTTTTCCTTTGTGTTTGATAGAATTAATTGATGAAAAATAAAAATAATTAATTTTTTATGTGCTTGGTATGATAGAAAAAATATTTTTTATTTTTTATTTTTTAAAATTTTTAGTTTTTTTTTTAAAAATATAGATACATATTTTATCATTGTATTTCAATATAAAATTAATGTATATAATATATATATATATATATTAGTCATAACTTGTGTTTGAAGGCACAATGAAATGTAAGTTTCTAGCGTTAAAAAATCGATCCCACTATATCATATTTAAAATTAATTTATTTGTTTACATCATTTAAAATTAATTTCTGCCTATTATTTTCTAAAAAATAGCGTCAAATCTTTTTCAAAATGTATAACTCAATAAAAAATTTTCAACATGTATACACTATTGTGTATGAATAATGTATAAAATAAAAGTTGCGTTAAACTACAAATTAACTAAATATTAAATAATTGAACATGTTATAAAATTGGGGTGATGTGATTTTTTTGGAAGAAAAATGTATAGGAAATAAAGATTCAACTTACTAACTGATTTATTATATATAGATATCAAAAGATACACAAATAAATAAAATACATTTAAACACAAATAATTAATTATTCATCCACTTTATTTCTAATTTTGGAGGAATTGATTTTGAAAAGTTGGAAGGAAAGCTCTGTCATCAACTTTTCTACCATTCATATTTTTCTTCCTTACAAAATATGATGTTTCATCACTGTAACTTTTTATCCTTCTATTTTTTTATCGTATCAAACGGAGCATAAGTCTTCTAAAATTCAACTTGAGTAATAACGAATTTTAGATCGAAATCAC